GCCTGTCAGTGCTTTTGTCTTGTTGTTTTTCCTCTGCTGTCAGCTCCTGCAGTGTGAAACTGCTTTCTGCCCTGTTTCTCTTAGCTTCTGAATGATTTGTTGCCTCTCCCTTAAACCGCTGCGCTAGGTGCTGTGCCAATGTCCTATTAGTGTACTGGACCTCTGAGGTTACAGCCATGACTTCGTGTGGTCTGCTTTTAGAGAGGAGGGAGAAAGGGTACATAGGGGTGAACTTACTGGACATGCAGGCAGATTAGGAGGGGTTACCTCACATTTTGGAAGGATCAGGAGAGGGCTACCTGGTTGAGGGGCTCCAAAGGAACAAAGGCCTGGCCATGCTGGGTTTGAAGCTCTGAGGAGGGTGAGTTCAACCCCAGGAAGGGCTGGGCTAGGAACACAGGCTGCTGTTTGGTGCTGAGGACATCTCAAACAGAGAGGTGAAGAGCTAGAGGTGAGATACTGATGGGAGAAAGAGCCAAAGGTGATACTTCTCTGTGTCCAGCTGTGGCCCAGAGGAATTTGCTGCCTGACAGCAAAGGTGGCACATCACTGCTGGTGGTGTGCAACCACAGAAAAGGTCTTAAATTCTGTGGGGAATGCAGGGTCTCGGCGTGCTTTTCAGGTGAAATTTCAGAGAATCCGCTTCAGGAGTGTCTGAGGTGGCTATAAACAGACAGCAACAAGCCAAATGGTAATGGCTGCAGTTTTCTGAAGGGAGATATGGGCGATGTAGCTGATCTGCAGACTGCTGTGTAATCCCTCAGCTACTTTACTGCCTCAGGCCTGGGAGCTGGCAAACGATATTTTAATTTTTATATATGCAGTGATGGCCCCAGGTGCTTTGGAGTGAGATGTCGGGGTTACAGCAGATAATTGTGTGAAAACACCAGTTCAGCTCGGAAGTTGTGAAAGCTAATTCCATGCCTGTGTGTGAGAAGACAAATCGGTCCTTGCCTGGAAGTGCTTGAGCCCTTAACTTGATTCAGAGCTCTGCAATGCAGTTACAGGAGGATGCTGAAGAAGGAAGGGGTAGAATTATGAGCTGGTGGGGCCATGGGTCACTTTGTCTGAGTAGAGCTTACAGGACAGACTCTGATGACTGACAGATGTCTGAAAGACTGAGTAATGGATTGATTCCTTGTTATGACAGAGAAAACTTGCAGGAGAGGATAATAGTATTACTGTGGATCTGAAGTATCTCAAGAAAATGTCATCTGAAATGTTGAGGTGTGCTGTTGGCACAGTGTTGTGTTGAATTAAGCTTCAGTTGTGTTTATGCGTCATGTACAGCCAGCTGCATCAAAGCCAGAGGGCCTGATCTGAGAGTTGAAAGGAGGTGGCTGTAAGTACATGTCATGGTGATCTCGAGTGCTACCCTACTTGAGTACTCAGCAGAAAAAGGCTGTCGTTCTGACAAGCTGTTGTGTTCTTGCACGAGGCAGCTTTCTGGGAACTGTGACCTGGCCATAATTTACTAGCTTTTGCAGGGGAGGAGAGAGAACAAAAGTGTTGTGGTAATTCAAGTGCTCCTTTGCCAAATGCTGGCTCAGTCTGTTTCTTAAAGTGTGTGAACTGCTTGGAGAAATGCCAAAACAGGCAAACTTACCTCTCAAAAGCAATGGCTGGGTTGAGGCTGTGTGCTGCTGTTAGTCAGCATCTGGAGGAGTTCATTGGCTGTGGCTGGGCTCTAGGTGCAGGGGTCTCTCCTTTTCAGCAGGCAGCTGGGGAAGAGGCACAGCAGAAGACTCAACAGCCAGCATCTCATCGATACGCAGCGTGTGGGATCTCTGGCAGCCGTCCCTGCCGAGGTGCTGCTGTTGCTGCCAGAGGCAGACTCCAGCTCGTTCTGAACTTGTGTTAGGAAATAGGAACTTGAACTTTGGGAGAGCTTGGGGCTTGCTCAGCAGTGGGTCCACTTACTAGTCACTATGCTACTGGGACAGCTCTTCTGGCAGGGGATTTATAAAGCCACGGGATTAGTCTGTCCTTAATTGAGAAGCCTGACATGTGAATAGTCCTACTAAAAAGCCCCAAACCCCCTTGGATGAGGTTTGGTGACTGGCCCAGCGGCTGGAGGAGGACAGGCTCATGTAAGGCGCTGGTACGCCATGGGATGCATTGAGTCAGGGTTTATAAATCTGGTCCAATTTTTGGAAAATATGTTCCGTTCTGTCTGCTTGGATGCGAAGAGATTCACAAGAGTTTAGTTCCTGCAGTCTGTGGCTGGCCTTCCCCATAGAAATTAATTCCAAGTGTTATATAAACATGGCCCTTATTCCAGTTGCAACATAACGTTGTGCTGGCTCATGTGCTGTGGAGTTGGGGGGGGGCAACCCCCTCATCGAGCAGGACAAAATGCTCTGGCCAAGCAGCTCATGGGAGCTGTTGAGGGAGAGGCTGCAAGGCACAGCGTGCAGCTTGTGTGGCTCTGGTCTAAATGTGATGCAGCTCTGACCTCCTGGAAGTGCATGGTACAGCAAAGTCTACTTTTTGTGTCACTGGATCTCTAGCATCAAGTGACTTGATAGCAAGGTGGCTTCTTGCAGCCTTAAAACTAAGAGTGGAGTTGCAGGTCGTGTTGACACCAAAAGGAACTGATGATTTTGGAGTAGCAGAATTGGAGTTGAGGAAACAAGCTGAAAGCTTTGGAAGCTTCCCTACTGAAGTAACATGTGGTAGGATATGCAATAGCTGCTTCCTCTCCAAGGGCCTGTATAGCTGCAAAATAACATCACATGCCTTTTTGAGTAGGCTTAGTTTTTGTTAGAGCTCTGCACAATTACAAAGAACTGAAAGTAGGGGGTACATGAATGTACCTACTGCAGTCCCCTATGGCTTCCCTTGCAGTCTGATTTTATGGGTGCAATACTCTTACCAGGACCCTTTCTCTCGTATTCATTGAGCAACTGCTAAATTTTGCTCTGTGCCATTTCTAGCCTCCGCTAAAAGTAAACTAGTAAAGCCCTGATTGGACAGTGGAACTTAATTTCTACTTGGACTCCAAAGCTCATCATCCAAGAGCTCTCAAAAGAGGGACTGAAACCCATTAAGATGTAATTCTGGTAGATTTCCCCTCTGTAACTGTATCTTAGCTTTCAAAAATCAAGCAATTGCAAAACAGATGGGTGAGAACTCTTTGCATGCAGGGTGCTGCTTGTGAGCTGGGCTTTTTGTAGGGTTTAGGAAGTGATTACCGTCAATAACAATCCTATACAGGCTGTGTGGAGGTGAGGGGCATTCTGACTTTTGGCATGATCTGATGTTTGACTTTGTGGCAAGGTTCATGTTGAAAACTCCATTGTCTGAGTTATCCAAACCAAGTCTTCCCACCTCGAAAGTGTGAGCATAAGCTCATAATGTTTTGGTAGAATAAAACACAGCTGTTTAGCCACAGCATAGTCTGGGGACCAGAGATCTAGGTTAAATTTCTGCTTTGCTTCAGCCATGATGCGTGTTGTTTGGCAAGTAGCTCTCTTTGCTGCATCCAGGATTCCTTACTAAAAGTAAGAGTACCACCAATCGCTGCTGTAAACCACTGAGAAACATGAGAAACGGAGCACTATTTAAGTTTCTGGCCTTTTTTCCCCCTCCCTATAACCACCATCTGTTTCCTGTGAGACTTAGTGGTAATGTCTTTGTAACTAAAAAGCGCTTGGTCAAAAACATCTTTGCTAGACCCCCTTGGAAACACCCAGAAGAGTTAAAGTCAGCTTGAAAGCTGTTTGACCCTTCCACCCCTCAGGCTGAGGACAGTATCACACTGTACAGTACAAGCTCAGTTTGGAGCCTGATGCGGAGGATGCTCTCCAGCTCGTGCCTGTAGCTAGCTGTAATGTCAAAAGATCCAGCTTCTCAAGCTAGGCTGAGTCCTTGCTCTGACCTCGGTGCTGTGGATGCTTGTGCCATAATGCTGAGGACTCATATGGTTCAGTGGAAGGGAAAGGCAGCCTCAGTGCTCCTGCTTCAAAGAAACCAGGGAGAAATTTCTTTTTTTATGTTTTCTCTGGATGGTGTGTTCACATCTGGTTTGACTAAATTCTTCCAGCTAGTCTTCTTTCCCTATAAAGGGTCTTGAATCCCTGGGAGGGTGCTTGCCTAACTGGCCCTCTGAGGTGAAGCTGAAGGGAGATGAACATTATGTACCAGTGCAACTAGTAAGAGTTTTGAGGAGTAGGATTATATGACGTTCCTCAGTTCTGGATTCAGTTTTTCCATAGACACTTAAATGCTTTTGGCTCAAATAGGGCTTTTATCTTGACAGAGCTCAGCATGTTGTGGTTGCTTGTTGGCCAGGACTACAGCTTGGTTGGGCACCTGACCTGCAGCAAGGGTGACAGAGGAAACAAAGGTTTCCTCTGCTTGAAACTGGAGGAGGGGAAGGCTTCTGAGCATGTTCCTCCGTGCTGGGCAGGGATTGCCTACCATACGAGATGGATTTAAATGGCTTTCCTCTTCACCAGCCTCTCTCTACCTCTTAATGCCTGACTTCTCATTACCAGTGCAATTGGCTGGACTGACTTAATGATGTAATACCTAGCTGCTTTATAATTTCAAGGTTGTGTCTTTTCGGCTTTGAAAGCTTTTCAGATGCTTCCACATCACTAGTATTTGAGGAAGCTTGCTTGTGGGTGCAGATAGGTTCTTGGTCATGGTTGCTTCAGAGAAGCCTGCAACCAGAGTCCTTTTGGCTAGAAGAAGTGTTTAGGTTTGTTTTTTTTTTTTTTTTTTTTTTTTTTCTAGATTTCTAGGAAATACTTCCTAGAAAATCAGTAACCTTCCACCTTGGTCAAGCACAGTGGACAGCTGGCGCAGGTGTGTGCTCAGTCACACAGATAGCATCACAGTTTCCTCTTTAAGATGAGGCAAGGCTGGTATGGTGAAACACTGATCTTTTCCTGCATTTGGATTGTCCATGATAAAAATGAGCACAAATATAAGTGTATCACTTAACACATGGGTTTTGTCTGGGTGATCTTTCAGGATCTTTCCTTTCTTTTCAGACTTGAAACTGCACCTCCAGAGCACAGACTATGGGAACTTCCTGGCCAATGAAGCCTCCCCGCTCACAGTCTCTGTCATAGACGACAAGCTGAAGGAGAAGATGGTGGTGGAGTTTCGTCACATGAGAAACCATGCGTATGAGCCCCTAGCAAGTTTTCTGGACTTCATCACGTGAGTACCAGTTGTTCGTGAACAGCACTTGAAACTTTGGTGTTCTTCCAGACTTGAGGGCTCTCAGACCAGCTTTCCACACTCAGCCCTGTAGCTGCTGTGTTTTCTGCAGTTTCTTGAATGGAACCGTTTTGGTTGTATGTGGAGGTCTCAAACCAACAGCACTGTATCACTATGTTGTTAAAGGCTCCTGCTCCCAGGGTGTGCATGCTTCATTGGCACAAATACTTAACTGCCTTCCATTGCAGAATTGGCTCAGTCTCTACTAGAGAGACTCTACTACTTGTCCCTTGTGTTAAACGTTCCTGGATTTTTTTTAAATGTGAGCCTGCTGCAAAACATATGCCTGCCAGGCATGTGCATGACAGCAGTTGCCTGCTAGTTCTGACCCACTGAGGTCAATCATCCTTTGTCAGGGCTGCTGTGATCCTGCCATCCCACCCCAGAGGCTGTACTGGTTCAGGGAGTTGAGGTGGCCAAAAATTGAACAACTTCTCACTTTTGGAGTTAATCTTTGACCGATTTGTTTTTCTCGGCCAGCTCAGTGGGATCCAACAAACACTAGCACTAGGAGAAGGGAGGGCCTAGAATGTGCAGCAGGGAAAGACAGGGCTGCAGCAGCCTTAGATGTCTTTGTCAGTGCATGAAAAGAGGCAGGGTGTGTGCAATTCCACAGCAGGTTCAGCTGATGTGAAAAGCTTGAAATAGCACAGTGTTCTTGCAAGTATCTTCTCCTAGTGGTTTTGCACAACCCTTTGCTTCCCTGCATGCTGCTCTTGTTTTAGTCAGTAATATGAAATTGCTAACCTTGGTGAATTACCAGTTGTGCTAGTTTGCATCTGAAACATGGAAGTAAAATTGCCTTTTTTTTCCTTTCCTTAGTCTGCATTTCTATGAGCTCTAGTCTGGCTTGCAAACTGCATAGCTAGTGGCCTCCTCTAACCAGTAAGGAGATATCTCATGGACAAAAGTGAATTTCTGGGTCAGTAGAACCTGACTTTAACTTGCATCTCTGAGAAGAAGATTGTACTCTGTTCTCGAGTCGGATAGCTGATACATCAGCATTCCTTTATCTGATACAGTGAGCTTGGGCTCATTGCAGGCACTGTGGCAAGCAGAGTTTAATCTTGCATTTTTGGCAGTTGTGTGTGTATCTTGCTTACCACCTAGAGATTTTTGAATGATTCAGGCTCGTATTTGTGATGAATTCAAAGATTTTAAATTTTGGCCTGTGGCATCTCCCGCATGTGCAAATACTGATTAAAGACCTGTCTCTCTGCTACATTCCTTCCTGTTCTGTTCTTTCTATGTCTGGACAGTACCACACTCATTATTCTAACCCAGTGGCTCATATCTATTATTTTCTGGGTCACTGTGCTAAAGCTGCCTGTCTTTTAAGCCTTTCCTATTTTCTAAGAAGTAGTTTTTTCTTATGTGCCTGTCACTAAAACTCATGGAGTTTTCGTATTTGGCTCCAAATATGGAGCAAGACATGGCAAGTCATCAGTAAGACATTACTAAGTCCCCATTTTGCAGCAGTGTTTGTAATGGATGAAGCAGTATTCTAGCTCATCATCTTAGTTGTATGGAGCAATCTCTTCTATTCCCTCAAACTTAAGTTAACCTTCAAAACACCTCTTTGCCCATCTTGAATTTGCTGTAAAGACATCAGTACTGTTTGAGCCTGGCAATATTAGGTAGTTTGTCCTCCACTGATGCTTTTCCTTTGCTGCCCTACAGGTTTATGGAAATGTCTAGTCTCTATGGCAGTATTGTAGTAATCACTAATGGTCTCTTAGCTTCTGTCATATCTGTTTAAAGGCAATAGTTTGGATAAGACACATGAGTATCTTGCAGACTTTAAAACTTTGCTGTTCCCTAATAGTCTTGCTTTGAAAACCGGTGTGTGGAAAAGATGAACTGAAAGGTCTCAGACCATGGCTGCCCTGATGACACACTGCATGACTTGGTAGGAAGGCTGTGAATGGCTGTGGAAATCCAGTTTCCTGTTACACCAGTCCTGTTGACCTTTATCCAGTGTCTACAACCAGCTTGAGTTGTGCAGAAGACTTTAAACATCTCATATAATCCGATAGGCTGGTTCTTGCCAGCTGTTGGAATGACTTAATTTTAAAACTGGTGTTTTGCCCCCAACTTGATTTAACTTTGATCTTGTTCTGCTTCTGTCTCTGATTTTGATGAGTTCTCTATAGCAAAACATGATTCTGTGCAGATTATCTGTATTTCTTGCCTACTGTGTAATCTCTTCTTGAATATATTGGTCCCATTTGGCACAGGATGTTTCTTCCTTGAGTTGTCTTCACTCTCATCTCTTTTCCTTTTTACCCACAAGATTTCCTTTAATGCCACTGGGTCTGCACTCATCACACCAAAGGAGTATTGATGGAATAGAGAAGGTGTTATCAGCTTCAGCTGGTCCAAGGTGGGAGTCACCATCAGTGTATTAGAAGTCTGTGGTGTCATTAGAAGTTATTAGATCAAGTTAAAACAGAAGAATGAGGACAGTGAAATACAAGGAGTTTGGAGAGGGTGCTGGTTTTGCCCAGTGGGTCTTAATATCATCTGTTGATAATCCTAATATACTTAGTGATTGGGCTAGTAGAAAAGAAGGTAGACTAGATGTGACTTCTTGGCCTGACTTTCAGGCTGTGTTTTGTTCCCTGAAACTGTCCCATGGGTTGTAGTAGGCCTTGGTTTGGGACAGGACAGAAGTTTCAAGGATTATTGTCCTGCTGACAGTGTGAATCTTCCCATGCACTTCCCAAACAGCTGGAGTGGAGAATAGCTCTGTTCAGAGGCTGGTGTGCCAGTGGCCTTCATCTAACCCAGGCTTGTATATAGGCAGCATCATAGAAATGTTCAGCCAAAGGATGTTGGTGGTGCTGGGGATGTTGTGCCTGTTCACACAGAGGTACTGTGTCATCCTGCCTACCTGGGTGACACTGGGACAAGCCTGTGCCACTTGATCTTCCACTCTGGCTGGGCATACAGATAGGTGTAATGGGGTGATTTATCTTTGCCTTTTGAACGTGGCTATTTCCCATTCCTTTCTTTTAGGGTAGTTAATGAAACTTGAGCAGGAAATGGTAAAGACCATTCCTGGTAGACAGCTCCGGGCCAACAAGGCACCAGGTGGTGAGAAGAAGAAATTGTACTCAACTGAATGTGTCCATGTGCTGAAATTGTACAAGCTGAATTGAAATAGAAAATGGTAGAAAGATATGGAAAGTTTGAGCAGGGCTGGCTTCTGCAGGAGGGAAGCTTGAGTTCACTGTGATGCTTTTGAGAGAGAGGCATTGAGTTGTAAACAGATTTTTTAAAATCGAGTGGCATTGTAGGAGGTGTGTCCTACACCTTCCAATGGAAGGAAATGTTTTGTAGCATGTCCAGTTCAGCTCTGAAACTCACTGCTGCCAGATGCCTTTGTATGTACTTACATTTTTGGCCTCCTTAGAAATACAGGATAATCTCACACAAAACAGGCCCATCAAGCCCCATTAAACACTTGGGTACCATCTCACTGAGAGTGGCCAGGGTGTAGATGACTGGTGCCAGGAAGTGGATCAAGCATTTAAAAAACAAGTCAGACTTTCTCCTTCATGAATGTCCTGCTGGACCTCTGGGGTGGTTTTGAGTTGATCAGCAGGTGACTGTTGTGCTTGTTTTTGGAGGGTGCTCAGATCTTAACCCAGGGCACACTGCTGAGAAGATCTGGGGAACTCTCTGATCGTAGGAGCAGCTGTAGTCCTTGTCCCCTCTGCTCCAGAGCCAACCTGTCAAAAGCCATGCATTTGTCTCTGCGTGGGATTATGCTCTGTCATTTCTCTTGCCTCTTCCAAGTGGGCCATGAGCTAGGTGAGGTGACAGGAAGGAGAAGCAGCAGTGGAGACAGCGTGGGGGCTCTGGAGTACCAGGAGGATGTGCGTTCCTGGTGTGCTCTCCTTGCCCAGCTCCAGGGAGATGAGGCAGTGCTGGCTGTGACTTGCCGGAAGGTGGCACTCCAGCCCTGCGGCTGCCTGTCCCCAGGTGCACACCATGCCATAGGTAAGGATGGTCACCTATGGACGTGGGCAGGAGTTAGCTTGTGTCCTGAGCTTGGGGGAAAGGACAGTGTTTAAAAGCACACCAGCAAAACTGACCCAAGAATGCAGCTAGGCAGCAACCCCAAAGCAAGGTCTTTGTTCCGCAAGTCACTTGCTGCCACTGATTTTTTGTTTATATTTTTTTTTTGGTCCTGTTGCGCTCCTCTCCTGGCACCATGCTGATGCTTTTCTGGCTCCGATCCTCTACAGGAACTCTCCTGTGGCAAGTGTTGCATTGTTAGTACCAAAATATTGAGGAAGTTGGCTGATTTCCATTTTGTTTTTTCAAGTGGTGGCTATAGCTGGCGGCCTCTGCCACTGTGTATTGTGGCAAGGAAAAGCTCAACTTGTTGAGCCTGCCATGGTCTCTATAAAACACCTGCTAGCTCTGCATTTTGCTAGGCAACTCCTTGTTGGAAGACTGCTGGTGCTTCCCTGTGCCTTTCGGCCGACCATAGTAGGTTCTGACTGATAGGCACAAGTTGGCTGTGAACATCTCTGCTCCAAAACAAACAATTGACTGTTTGGCTGAGGGAATGCAGTGATGTTCTGTAGGGCAGCAACAAACAGGTATTAAGTGTACTTGAAACAGCAAAACCCACTTCCTTAATTCAACAAGCACATATTGACTTGTGGGATGGAAGTGGGTTTTAGGTTCTTCTTGGTGATGTGCTGCCCTGCCTTTCTGTAAAGCCTTTGTTCTTTGTGTTAGCCTGACATGGTGCCATGTCCTGTCTCTCCTTCCTTCCACTGTTCCTGTATATGGTTTAGATAGGATTCTTTATCGTGCTGTTGTTCCTGCCTCTGGCCTGCTGTAGCCTAGTCAGATTGTCAGCTTCAGTATTTTTCCAGGGAGCAGAAATAGGGTTTGGTGTTGGGGTTGGGTTTTTTTTTTGT